CAGCAAATCGCAGTAAACCACATGCTTTTTGTGATTTGCTTCGATCACAGCAAATCACAAAATCCCCACGTCCCTGTGCCTGGGTACCTTATCCAGTGAATTACAATATCGATATTTTTAGAAAAAAAAAATTAAATGATTTGCATTACTAAAAATAACGTGTACGTAAATCCTCCTTAACTAACAATTACTAAAACAAGAAAAAGTACTGTTTACACCTATTTTAACCCTTGAAAGAAACAGTTAGGACTTAATCCTTAAATTACATTAAGCATGTGATATTTGCATAGGATTTAGGATTCTGGATCGTATTAATGAAGTGTCAAACTTATTCAGAAGATCGCAGATTGAAACTAAAATTATTATGGAAGATCGCAGAAACTAAAATTATTATGGTATCGTTATGATCGTAGGATCTCGGGACATTCCATGAAATAAATTAAAAATACTTTATTTTTGAAAGATATACATAGATTAGTTTTGTTTAAGAATTTCGCTGGTATAATTCGTATTTCACTTAATAGGATTCAATTTCCGATAACGCAGTTTAACGTTAACGCTAAATACAGAATATTACAAGAAAATCTAATATCAATTACAGGATTTCCTTAAATATTTGTAATTTTTAATTATCCCGCGTTTTGAATGATAATAAACGAAAGAATTACAAATGATGCTCAAAGAAATATCTTATTCTAATTTCCTTAAGTAATTTTTAATTTTTTAGTATGAACTAGTATGAATTGCTAAATAATATTTATACGTAAATTATTGTATTATCGTGAAATAACGTTCTGGACGTTAGTTATTTCACATGTGTAAATCTCAAATGCTTTCGATTGACAAAGATGATCTAATATGAATCATTAATATGAATTCTTAATATGAATAAATTGAATGATCTTTTAGTTAATAACGAAAAAAAAGTACTGTAATAGAATAACATCGTTCAATTTTAGTTCTTGTAAAAAAATTCACGTGCATACTTAATAAAAATAAAGAAACGTTAAGAAATTAGAAATTTAACAAAAATCATTTAACTAATTATGGCAGTTCAAATTTATAAAACATTTTGCTCTCTGTTTTTTTAATGGGCGTTAAGTATTAGCAGAATATACAGAATATACGGTGTAAAAGAGAAGATCGACCCCGGAAGATACTTCTTACAAATGATCCTTGTTGAAACAATACGGATTAATTGTCATATGAAGTTTTATCTAGCGATATCATTTGGGCTAGGAGCTGGAAAAAGGGCCGAAAATGACAATTTTTTCAAATGAGTTTTTTTTACATAAATCAATTTAAAATTAAATTAGAATTATTTTTCACTTAAGATACAAAAGTAGTTGTATTAATAAAATTTTGCAGTATAGCTCTTTAAAGTTTGCATTTTCTTATGATTTATTATAAGATTTATAATATAAAAATTGATTTTCCGAAGATCTTTTTTTTTTGTCATTTTCGGCCCTTTCTCCAGCACCTAGCCCATTTATACTTTTATTTTTTACCAACTTGTGATTTTCGTGATAAAAACAGTTGGAAAAAATATAACTGCGAGGAAAGGATCAAAGGGGCAAATTAAATATAAAAAGCATGGGTTTTTTGCTTACAACAAAAAATATCAAAAAATCAATAAAGTAATAATTATAAAAGAATAAAAAATCAAATACATTTCAAACAAAAATTTATTTAAAATGTTGAAGTCTAAAATTCTCGCTACTTTTATTACTCTCCTCGTAGTCCTTTTTGCATGTTCGCAAGCAACTCCCATCCGTCGTGCTGATGATAAAGCTAAAGCTACATTAAAAAAACTTGATGGTAGTGTTGAATTCACACAAGATAGCGCAAACATCAATGCTAGCTTACTGTTTAATGAAGGTTTTGATAGTAACGATACAACAATATACTTTGTACAAATTGGACAAACTGGACAAACTGGACAAATTGGGCCGGCCTCATTCGCATCCTTGGGTATTCCAATTACCCCACCTAAAGCCGGTCCCTTCAACGGAGCACTTCCTGCAAATATTAGTTTGATAATTGGTCAGCCATTAATAATTTTGAAGAATACTGATACATTGGATAGTGCAACAATTGAAAAGGAATAGTTTTTTTTAAAAAAAAATTTACAATTATTAATTTTACATTCATGTACCAACTAAAATTAGAATTTAATTTAGTTCATAATAATTTATTACTTCTATTTTATTGAAATAAGTGTGCGTTTTTACTTCTTTTGCGCTGTTATTTAGAGAGTAAATATCTTATAGCTATAGGATAGTAATAAATAATTTCTATTTATCTTGATGTTTTAATATCATTAATTACGTTGCTCTTTGAAATTGAAAGTTCCTCAGTAATTAAATAAATAAATATTCTCAATTTTTGAAAATTTTTTTATATTTTTAGCAAAACCATAATTTTTTTTCTCAAAGATCTTTCAAGTATTTTAGCTAAACATTGATTTAATTCTTAAAATTTTACTGTATAACAGTTAATTATCATAATTGTTTTCATAATATATATATAAATTTTAAAAGTTACTCGTATATCTAACTTTTAAGAATTTATTTAAAAGTAACCAGAGATGAAATTACCGGTATATATTTCTGTTTAATTATTTCTTAATAAATAACCTATTTTTTCTTTAACTTTAGGGTTAGGGCGAGGTCTATATTAGGTTAAAAGTGTTTATTATATGTAAAATTAAACGCTGAAAACTTTTACTTAGTAACATGATGCAAGTTTTCATAATAAAATTTTAAGATATTAATGATTTTTAATTTTTTTCTTTAAAATTTCTTTATTAATACACGTAACAAAAATTTATGCTCACGTTATCAAGAATAATTAGATTTATATATAGCATGACAGAGGCAGTATTTATTACTAACAAACCAGTCTTCTTGCACATTCTTATCTATAGACCCAAACTCTTATCTAAATTAATAAACCCAGTACGCTTAAAACAGGGACGTGGGGATTTTGTGATTTGCTGTGATCGAAGCAAATCACAAAAAGCATGTGGTTTACTGCGATTTGCTG